TGAGGGAAACAGACCACCCCGAGACCCAGGCAGTGGAGGCGAAGAGAAAGCGACAGAAGTTCACAGGGTGGGGGGCGGGGAGCCCAGGAGGAAAGCATCCCGTCAGGCTGGGGACCAGACAAGGCTTTCCCCAGAAAGTGACATTTAAACTGAGTTCCAAAGGAGAAAAGTTCATTTCAAATGGCTGATTTTATAGTCTGTTTTTTATTTCTTATAGTTCCCACAACACAGCTAGTTTTGCTGCCTGCAAAATCACCACAATAATCCTTGTTTTGTGTATTTTTTTAATCATTTGAAAGTCACTTAGGGCTACCAAACGTAATTGTTTGATCCTATTTTAATTTACTTGGTGAAACTGAATATAATAATTAAGCTTTGAAACACACTAAGGAAAATATTATATGGTAAAATTAATAGTTATGACTCAGCACTGAAGATATAACTAGAAAGCATTCTTGGGGTAGCCACGGGTAGGTTAAAAATATACTCTAAGTTGGATGGCAGTAGACCATCCGGAAATCTATTCCCTTGTCTGTGCTTAAAGTACGCTGGAAACGATCAGGGTATTATAAGAATGAAGAGTCATTGACATTTTCCCCATCGACTGCCTCCCCCTTCTCCATCTCTGTGCCAATTATGGAGCACAAATGATTCTTATTAGGAACATAAACGTCGCTCTCAACTCAAACCCAACATTCCAGCTCACGACTGAAGTGCTCCCGGTCATAAACCTCTCTGCACTCATTCTCGCTTGTGAAAGTCATGCTCTGAGATGCGAGTCCCTGCAGTCTCAAAGGGATATTCTCATACTGTTTACTCTGCATTAGAAAATGAAAAACTATTTTCAGGGTATAGTATAAGGCTACATTAAGTGTACCAAAGGTGATTTCTGACTTGATACAAAGATTCTAAGCAGTTCTTAATTTATAATTTAAAAGGAAAAGCAAAAAGATGATTATTACTTTCCTTGGTGAATCCAAAAATCCCTCTTTTTTTAAAAAAGCTCTAAAAGGGTTCAATTACTTTCTCTATTAAGAACAATGTTTCAGGTGTCCACCTCCAGATAGAAAATTATGATCCCTGTTCTGTGTGATGCTCACAGACGATATAAACCCAGTGCTAAATATAAGGCTGGTTTTGAATTTAAGATTCAAATGTTGCATTTTATTTTAGGTTTCAGAAATGTAACATCTCTGTATAACTAAATATTGTTTCTCTTGGAATAATAAAAGGATTATAATCTTAATTTGGGAAATTGTGAACAAAATACAGTTGAATGTCACCATGATGCTTTTAGCAGGAAGCAAGATGCTGTAAAGGTTAAGTTAATTTGGGGATTACCCATGAGTACTCAGCTGCTTAGGTACCTGGAGGTCCTCATTACAAATTAGTCTCTCCTGTACAGCTGGCACTGAAGTGGAGGGATTTGAGGACTCCGGGAAACCTCAGGAATTCTGCAAAGAGCATGGCATAGAAAGAAGCAGCTAGAAACAAGAGAGAACCATAAAATAAGATTTGCCCTGAGCATTTTACTGAGGAAATGGGCCTGAAGAGGAGAATTCTATTTATACAAATAAATACAGGTTGAATTTTTTAACATACACATATGGGAGTACTAACTATCCAGAAACCCAGGAAAGCATGCAGATAGGTCAGAGAAACCAACATTTCCTGAGAGCGAGTGCTTTGTAACTTGAGCAGGGATGTCCAGACCAGGTGCCTTCATCCCCAGGCAGGAGAAGAAAATGGTGATTGCAGCCTGAAGAGACAGTGGGGAGAGTGGAACTCGGGCTGCCTGTGATGGACTGAAGCTCTGCACTCACATTTCAGTATCTGTAAAGCCTTCATGAAGTAAAGTGGATGCTTATTAAATTTCTTGCTTTCCTGATTCGTCTCCCTGAAGACTCAGTATATTTGCCATCTTTCTATGCATTTTCATCTTTCATTAAAATTATGTATGAAAAGACCTCTTTGAAAGCTTTGTCAAAGTATACCATCAGAAAATCCCCTGAAAAGTGGTTGGATTCTTGTCTCTGGTAGAAAGTATAAATTCCTTAAAGGAGAAGCATTACCTTGAAGACCTCCTACAGTCCCTTTGACTCTGTGGCTGGCCAGGGTCCATCATCCTGTCAAGGGACTCAGTGGGGACAGATGCAGTTTGGGCTCCAAAGTGGAATGTGTGGCCATCCCCAACACTGCCATTCCTAGAGACCTGTGTGCAGCCTGCATCTGGTACCCCACTGCTGCCTCCAGGTAGGGAAGCAGGGATTCTTGGCACCCACGAAAGAAAAAGAAATGACCATCTTTTATCTTTTCTTCTTTGTTCAGCTTGGCTGAGCATACCATGTGGAATCTTCGTATCAGGACAAAAATCACCGCTGATGCCTTCATTTCAGCGGAGGAGCATGTGTCCTGACCTGTCTTTTATTCCAGCTCTCCGCTCCCTTTCCCTGACATTCATTTCACAACTTACTGTGTTCTTTTCTCTGTCTGCTGCTACCATCCTCCTAAAGCTGCTCTTAATAAAATCAGCAACAAATTTTTCTAGTTGCTAAAGCCAGGGATTTCACCCAGGAAACCAGTGAAAGTAGCAGCTCTGATGTGTGCCAGCCACTGTGCTAGGCACAGATTTTTAGGCCTTCGTAGTCCTCATGGCATCGGGCACTGCTCCCACCTTCTAAGGAAGGACTCTTCTCTTTGCCTCCTGTGAAACTGCTCTCAGGCTTCTTCCCGCTCTGTTTCAGGGTCCTTCATTGACTCTTCTTCCTGCCCCACCCCTTAAGTATTAACCTTCCCTGAGGGGTGGTCCTTAGCCCTCTTCTTGTTCCCTCCTTGAGCCACCTCAACAGCTCCCATCGCCTCAGCCACCCGCTCTGTGTGGATGGATTTCCACATCTGATTCTTCTTTCTAATTTCCTACTGGACATCTCCACCTGACTGTCAAACTGAGCGCATTCAAGAGGATTTCATGCAAAAAGCATGCTCGCCTTATCTCGGCTAATGGCCTCTGCATCTGTGACATCCTCCCGCTCACTCATCTTCCTTGGCGGATCGGTTAGCAGATCCTCTCGGTTCTTCCTCATCAGAATTGTGGCTTCCTCGTTCATTCTCCAGCGCCTCTGCTTCAACTTGGGTGCTTACGGTCTCTCGTTTGAATTTGCACCACAGCTTCCTGCCTCCCTGCGTTCAGCCTCTAGCTGTTCCAGTCCATCCAACCACCAGAACTATCTTTCTGCATCACAGATCTGATTGTGTTATTCTTTACTTAAAAGCTTCCAATGCATCCTAGCTTGGCAGACTGAGTCACAATCTTCCAAACCTACTGTACCAGCCTCATCTCCCACCAATTACCCAAGCCTACCATATTATTTCTTATTTCCAGGCATGTGTGTGTGTATATGTTGGTTCTGCTGCTAAAACAACCTGTTTTGTCCTCTATTGCCATCTGGAAAACTCCTAGTCATCCGTTAAGAGCCAGCTCAATCACTCTTGGCAGTCAATCGGTGTTTGTTGAATGAATGAATGAAGACTTGCCTCACTCTCTCATGCAAAGTAAGGCTCTCCCTGGTCAGTATTCTGGAGGCACTCTGCTGGTTCCTCTCCCACGTTTGTCAACATTTGTGTTGTAGCTGCTGTTTGTATCAGACCAGGCTAGGAATGGGGATGTATAGCTCAGGTGCTGCCTCTTCCTCTCCCTCTCCCATAGCAGACGTTGTTGCCAGCCTCCTTTCCCACTGAGCCCAGACACAGGCTCAGAATCCTTCTCAACACAGGACTTGGGACAGCCACTTTCAACAGACTGGAGTTTACACGGAGTTTGAGGTCTGTTTGACATCCCCTGAAGTAGACTCTGAGTTTTTCCAGCACGGTGGACTGCCTAATATAACCACGCAATTGCTGAAGGGATGACAAATGGGTTTTTCTTTTTTGGGTTTTTAACACTAAATAAAATGTTGATACTTTAATCTTATGTTAGCTCTATATTGTTTCACGTTACAGATAGATCTGTTCTGGAGAATGTATTCATAGCAAGAGATGAGCAAGGTGATTTGTTGAAATGCACTGTTACTCTTTGCCAAGAATTCTTCATACACGCACATTCAGTCCACCAAACCATCGCCTGTGCCTACCACAGCCCTCTCCCTCTACAGAATTCAGCCCACTGCTTCACCTTAAAATCAGCACCCTGCATGTTATTTCTTCTTGCCTCAGATTTATCTTGCACATTTTCAAGAGTTGGTTGGATAAAGCATTAAAAAGATACAAGTATCTAACCTTACATTCCAATTTCATGACATCTCTTTTTGGCAATCACAAAAGAAAACTGGCAAGTCAGGGTGATTTTAAAACTAGTTAAAAAGCACAAGAGAGCTACTTTTTTCTATACTGTATGAAACATTTAATAAATATTAAATAGTAATACTCTTAGTAATCCATTTTCTTTATCTTTGAAACTAGTAGCTGTCAAAAAGATGTCCAAAAAATCAGGAAAATGTGAAGCACCTTTTCCATGTCTCAAGTGAAAGATGCAATATAATTACCATCATTGAGTTCAGTGAGTTTCATTCACATGATCCAACTAAAAGTCTTCTTTAGTTCTGGTCACATTTCAGAATTTAAAAATGGAAAATTGGGTAATATAAATGAAGAAATCAACAAAGTTCATGTTTTCTCTCAATTCCCTTAATATACACAAGACAGCTGGTCGTGGAACGCTCAAAGCGGAAGGTTCTTGAGTGTCAGTCATAAGACTGTGCAATGCAGTAAACAGGATGATGAGAAAACAGAAGAAGAAAAGGAGAGATGGGGCCCGTAAAAGCCTGAAGCAATTTCTAAAATAACAGTTTTGCTGCATCTACATCTGTTTGAAAAGCGTCGTCTCCATTTACTTTTTAATGAATTTAGGCTGTTGGTGAATTATTAAAATGGTTTCCACTCAACTTTTTATGTATTTTCTCTCCTATTGTGTTCCCACCTCTCTTATCTGGAAAATCCATCAGGCTAACTGTCAGGTAGGTTCTTCTTGATGTTTAATATGATTATTAGAAGTATCCATAGCAGGAAATGAAGTAAACAGACTGTTGGTGACCTACGATGAATGATAAAACTAAACAGAAAAAGCACATACTAAATTACAGAGAAACTTTCTGCAGGTGCATAAAACCCTAGAAGCTGCAAACTCTAAGCCCATTAAGCCAGTGTGAACATCTATCATAAGAACCCAGCTGAAGGGAGTACAGCGGCTCTAAATGATAAAGTAGGTTACCTGGACTGTCCACTTTTGCTTTGGCTCTAAATACAGCCTGCTCCCAGAAGGCTTAATTGTTATAGAGTGATATTATATCCTATGTGGTCACTAGCTATTCTGCTGTAAATATACTGTCAGCTTTTATGGATTTGGCCAGGTTCAAGAAAAATTCACAATGATGTATTTTAAATCCCTATTTTAAGTACTTATTCAGACATACCGCGTGCCTTGAAGAAAGAGAGTGACTAGGAAAAAAAATAGGGGTGGCGGCATATATTTTGTTAATGTTAAACTCACCCTTGGAGTTAAATCTGACATGGTTTAACTCTAGTCAAAAGAATAGTCGCTTGAAATTGCAGTAGGAGACAGAGCTGTTCGTTTCTCCCTTTGGTGTTGGGGAAAAGGAGTATTCCTTCTCCCACATGAAGCAGCAGAACAAGCTCTTTTTAGATCCTCAAGTGCAAGACAGACACTTTATAAGCCCGAACCATAGCTAAGCCCAAGAGAAGAGAGACATACATTTAAATTAGGGTGTGTTTGGTGTGTGTTTGATGTGCGTGTGTGTGTTGTTTTTAACTTGAGCTCATTTTTATCTTTCAAGAGGAAAAATTATGTGCTTCAGTTGCCATGCAACACCAACAGCTCTAACAGCTTTCTAATTTTAATTCCAGAAGTCTACAGAGCAAATGAAGAAGGTCCCTACTATTATCCTTTCCGTCTCTTATAAAGGAGTCAAATTTATTGATGCAACAAATAAGGTGGGTACCGCACCTCTCTTTGGTTTGACAACAGATTACAGTCTTGAGTATATGATCTAAAATCCTTTGCTTCTTGTCATACCCAATATCCTCCATTTCAATCACTCCCCACTGCCCACCTTCATGCTCCCTAAACACAACGGTAGATAGACACACACACACACACACACACACACACACACACTCTCACAGATTCATACGTATATACAGAAGGGCACATTTCATTTGGGGGACTTGATCTAGGATTCCTATCCATATTTTGCTTTCACTTTTCCGTGGCGCCTTCTTTAATAGACTGTGGCCACTTATTATCTGGCATGTCCCTTTGGATCTAGAGAACATTAAAACAGAAAACGAAATCATGTTTAGAATGAAAATGCAGCATTGTCATCATTCCTCCGTCAAAGGAAATTTGCTAGGTGAAAGGCTAGAGCATTTGTCTTTCCATTTCTCTAGAGATATATATGTCCTTTCTTTTGATGTAGGTAATGAATACCTGACACAAGGAGCACAGAATATTTGCACTTAATTCTCAACTACTGAGATGGAAGAAAGGGTTTCAACTATATTGTTTTCTTTTCTTTTTTCTTTTTTGTGAGGAAGATCGGCCCTGAGCTAACATCTGCCAATCCTCCTCTTTTTGCTGAGGAAGACTGGCTCTGAGCTAATATCCATGCCCATTTTCCTCCACTTTATGTGGGACGCCGCCACAGCATGGCCTGACAAGCGGTGCGTCGGTGCGCGCCCGCAATCCGAACCGGCGAATCCCGGGCCGCTGCAGCAGAACGCGCGCACTTAACCACTTGCGCCACCGGGCCGGCCCCTATATTGTTTTCTTAAGAGACACAATCAGAAAAGAAGCTCAGGCCATACTGTGACTTTGTACTCAGAGTGGAAATAGTTCCTGAGTTCTGAGGTCAAGAGTGGACAACTGGTTGCGTTTTACTTACAAAGTGTTCGAGAGTTCCTTTCTTGGCAAAGATGACAGAGTGCTGGTGCTAGACTAGAACATTTGGGTGTGACCACTCTCACTCTCCATAAACCCAAATCTGACTGGCTCCTCCTCACAAAACCCCCAAACGTCCATGTGTTTTATTCCTACATCCTTCCAACCGATAAAGTGTAGAAAGAAGGGAGATGAGGTGATCCCCCTTGGTGAATACCATTTGTTTCCTGGACTGCCTTGCCAGTCCTCACACCTGGACCCACTCCATTTTGGAAAAGAGAACAGATGTCATGAAACAGGTGAACTTACTGGTAACTTAGGGCTGGATTTAGATTCCAGGGAGAAGTCCCATGGGCAATGACTCTTGGGTGTCTATAGTAAAGCTGAGCATCTGAATCAACCCGTTTGAAGTTTCCCTAATTTGTTTTCTGTAACAAAAAAAGATTGCTGCATCAGCCATCAGATAAGCCCAAGCTCCCCAAATCTACTTAGGAAAACAACCTCCCAGTTTTAGAAACAGTTCTGATCATGCTGGCTGATGATATCCAAAACACACTCAGAGTGAGATGCCTTACGTGGAATGATAGTTTCAACTCTGCAATATATTGTTGACAGTGATTGTCAGATTACAATTGTGGAGACTCTAATCAGAAAAATCTCGATTGATTTGCTGTTTTATTTCTTGGAAGCAACTTTAGTTACTGGCGCACAAGCTTTCTTTATCCTTAAATTATAGTCAGTTCATTAAAAAAGTTCCCAAACTTTATGGAACTCTGATTGAAGATACCATTGCTATTGCTGAATCTCAATTTCAAGAAAGGCTTTGGCGTTTGGATTTTTTTCCCTAACCTGGAGCAACTGTCTCTACCCCATTCGCATTTGAAAACCATGAATAGCAATAAATTTTCAGTGTGTGAATTTGACACTCCTAGCTTTAGCAGGCTTGGATTCTGACAATTTCTAAACAAGTGGTATTTGCCCTCAGAAGTTCCCAGAGTCTTAAGGCTGTCATTCCATGAAGCTGGTGGTATGACTGGATGCGTCTGTATTAACAGCATCCTCTCTAACCCACTCTCCATGATCAAAGGAATGAGAGAGTTCTGTTGCATTTTGCTTACGGACACATTAAGGGTCGTAGAACTTGGTTTCCTATACCTTGAGGAGACATTTCTGCTTCAGTCACCAATAATTAGATGAGTTATCCATAGATCTCTGCTCACTGATGACTACTCTTTGGAAGTATAAGCACTGAAAGATATGCAAAAGATAATTCTGTGTGAGTAAAGACACTAAATAAAGAAGGCAGGCGTATCTTTCAAGTCCTTGCAGTGTGGCCCTCAGCATATTTTCAAAATCTAGAGCAAAGGCAAAGTGCATATGTTGGTGGCAGGTGGAGCCAACCTTTCCATGACTATATGACAACATGTGCCTGGCTTTTTTAGGAATTTGGGGACATTGACTTCAACATTGACAGTTCTACTGAGTCCCCATCCTACTGTCCTGCAATGTAGCTGATCTACCCCAATGTAACAGTGGATAAGGAGAGAGTGGATGACTCAGGGCTATAGTCTAGTAGTTGGTGTGTGAGAAGCCAAAGCAGAGAGATCATAGTAGAAGGGTAGAAGAAAGGAGCAGTGTAAAGCTACACTGGCGGAGTTCGACTGTAGAAGGCTGAGAAACCCTACCCCCAGCCAGGGCTGAAGGACTGGTTTCAATGATGGAGGATCCATCATTGGAGGATCATCCTCAAGTCGTGTTGTGAGAGGAACTGTGCTCATACACCTAGATTCTAGCAGCATCTGCAGTGGCATCTTTGTGTGCCACTTTGTTCTGTAGCAAAGACCAACCTCTAGTTAATGCCCACAGCAGGAAAGGAGCAGACTGATAAACTCCAGAATCCTGCTTTTGGTTTGTACCTGAGATTTCTCCCCTGGGAAGGGTCATCTGGGTGGGCCACTTTGATTTGAAGTGAAGGACTTGTAAAGTGTAGACATATTTGAAGACTTCACACTTTGAGGTACTAGTGGCCACTAAGCCTGTAATAAGGCACAACCAAAAGTCACGCCTTAATATTCATGTTTGATGTTTTCATTGTACTTTATTCTTAAACAGTCCTCTCCTAACCATGCGTGTCTCTTTAGCTCTGCCCTGGTGAGATAGAGGGGTGTTCAATCTGCACTGGGCAGGGAGAGACAGGCCTCAGACCTCTTGCTAAGTGACTGCCCCACAGGCACACAGCCAGTTGGTCATAGAGAAGGACTAAAACTTGACTTTCCCACTCCCTACCCTAACGCTTTTTCTATTATTCCATAGCTTCCTTCCACCAATTAGTTTGAAGTGCAGTGGATGATTAATTATTTGTTAATTACTCTTCCATTTGTATTAGCCCCCATTAGACTATGTGAAAGATGAACCCTCCAGCAAAGTATTTCTTTCCTTTTACTCTGGTAAATAAATAGCTTTGGCTGAGTTCATGGGGAAGGGTTAAGTTCCTAGTTATAAACTCATAAATTTATCACCTAGCAACTTAGGAAATAAATTGAACCACTAATCTCAATTTAAGAAGGAAGAAGGGGAAAACGATCTTGGATTAAAAATGGAAGCTGGAATAGATTTAGCACTAAAATGTTGTGGATAAATCACCCCAGCTTTCTGTAGATCATAGCCCAGAGGTAGCTCTAGCATGGCTTTTGGCCCAGAGGACCATGACTGTTGAGTTACAGGCCTGTCTTCAGATCAGCAGGGTCTTCCAGGAGAGGACACAGTCCCCACATCCAGTGCTTGGCTGAGGGAGGGTTGCATTTTGCCTTCCTGCTCTGACCCCCTCCTCAGTCTTCCCATCCAGCTAAATTAGGACCCATGCAGTTCTGGGTTTTGTCTTTTATTTATTTGTCTGTTTGTTTTTTTTTTTTTTGAGTGCCAATTTCAAACAAGGCTTATGCTATTTTGGGGGGCATAAAATAATTCGGAACATTTGCCTAAACAAGTGCCCAGTGTTTTTTATAGCACATACTTCTCCTTCTAAGAAGCTCGGAGTCAAATTAAGAGCCCTCTAAGCATGTGTGCTGTTCTCGTCTGCATCTGGGGCTCACAGGTCACCTCAGTTAGCCCTCGGCCGGGGCTGCTGCCTCTGTCTGGGGGACCCTCTCTGGAGGGCACTGCATTCTCTCACTCAGAAAAGGCCTGGCCTGAGGAGGAGACTCAGGAGAAATGCCCTACCCATCAGAGCCCAGAGTGAGGGAAGCGGGAGAGGCGAATTTCTAGACTCTGTCACTTCTTCATCACACACCGTTCTTAGAACCTCTGTATTAATTGGCTGGACCAAACAATTCTATTCTATACCTGCCAGCCAGGCACCTCTTTAGCTATTTCTCAGCATGATGAAAGGCAACAGACATGAAGAAAGTCTTTCCCTGCTGAGTGGTACTAAGCTGCCAAACTTTCTGTCCCAAAGAAAGGGCAGGGTGAGCCCCTCCCCAGTCCTTCTTTTGAGCCTTTTAAAAGCTCTGGTCTTCTTAGAACAACGCTGAGCAACATAAGAGGAGTCCATTTTAAATCGAGGTACATCCCCTGTACCTCGTGATGACGTCAGCTTTTAATTTGTGGAGGAGCCACTAATTGATGTGTGACAGGAGGCAGAAGGAAAGTATGCCTCCATGACTTCTTCTTCTAGGAGGAAACCAACCATCCACTCTCCATTCCGTCTGCAGCTATAGTATCCTTGGTCTTGGATTCATCGTACACATTGAGAACTGGCCTCACTGTTCTGCAAGGGTAGATGATGCAGAGTGATGGCTGTGTTTCAATAGTGAGATCCCAGGTCCCCACCACATCCTAGCACCACATATATATCAGGAAGTTCTGTTCAAAAATACCTCTCTACATGGGCTATCCATATGAATTCATTTTAAGTGTTGGAATGATTAAACATCAGTTAGTCTTAACTGGATATAGAATATTTTTATTAGCCTGCCTTTCCTCTAGTTTAGGCCGTGAAACAGAGGAATAAAAGTTTCAACAGTGAGAGAGGAGGCTGATTTTGGAACATGGAGCAACATGGAGGAGGGCAGGCCTCGATGGGCAGTTAAAAGACAGCACTGAGTGGCCAGCCCGGTGGCGTAGCGGTTAAGTGCGCACGGCTGCGGCGGCCCAGGGTTTGGATCCCTGGTGCGCACCGAGGCACTGCTTATCTAGCCAGGCTGTGGTGGCGTCCCATATAAAGTAGAGGAAGATGGGCACAGATGTTAGCCCAGGGCCAGTCCTCCTCAGCAAAAAGAGGAGGAATGGGAACAAGATGTTAGCTCAGGACTGATCTTCCTCACAAAAAAAAAAAAAAAAAACCGCTGGGCTCCTGGGGAATAGAAAAGTGGGGGGTTACAGAAAATTGAAGGGAGAGTTAAGAAAGACAGAGGAAAAATGTCTTAGTCCATTTGGGCAGCTATAACAAATTACCATAGACTGGGTTGCTTAAAGAAGAATAAACATTTATTTCTCAGTTCTCGAGGCGAGGAAGTCTGAGGTCAAGTCACCAGCAGATTCGGTGTCTGATGAGAGCCCATTCCCTTGTTCATAGTTGGTCATGTTCTGGCTGTGTCCTCACACAGCAGAGCGAGCTAGCTAGCTCTCTCATCTCTTCTTAGAAGGGCACTAATTCCATTCAGGAGGGCTATACCCTCATGACCTAATCACCTCCCAAAGGTTCCACCTCCAAACACCATCACACTGGGGGTTAGATTTCAAGATATGAATTTGGGAAGGACATGTAGTCCATAGTAGAGATCACCAAAGATACACTTTACCTGCTTTACTATTTTGCCTGGGGCCACAGTGCTATCACACACCATTGAAAATTGCGAAGAGTGACATCTTGTGAATTGGCAAGATTCAGGGAATTCAGTGCGATAAAAGTCACAGGGCAGGGGCCAGCCCCGTGGTGTAGCAGTTAAGTACACGCGCTCCGCTGCTGGCGGCCCAGGTTCGGATCCTGGGCTCGCACCGACGCACCGCTTGTCAGGCCATGATGTGGCGGCATCCCACATAAAAAGTGGAGGAAGATGGGCACGGATGTTAGCCCAGGGCCAGTCTTCCTCAGCAAAAAGAGGAGGATTGGCATGGATGTTAGCTCGGGGCTGATCTTCCTCAAAAAAAAAAAAAAAAGAAGAAGAAGAAGGAAAAAAAAAAGTCACAGGGCACTTTTCACTGTAATACTTTCCCAAGAAGTTGATCTCCCTTCTGCTTGTAAAGGATCTCAAGAACACAAAATGCCAATTTAGTTAAAAGTTGGAGCCAATACTCTATTTCCAGTAACAGTGGATCCCGGACCGGTGAGACCAAATCCACCCAGACTTCCCGAGGTAATGGTAGCCCCCAATTAAAATGACAGTGTAGGGGCCGGCCCAGTGGCATAGCTGTTAAGTGCACGCACTCTGCTGCAGCGGCCCGGGGTTCGCAGGTTCGGACCCCGGGCAGGCACTGACACACCGCTTGTCAAGCCATGCTGTGGTGGCGTCCCATATAAAGTAGAGGAAGATGGGCACAGATGTTAGCCCAGGGCCAATTTCCTCAGCAAAAAAGAGAAGAACTGGCATTGGATGTTAGCTCAGGGCTGATCTTCCTCACAAAAAAAAAAAAAAAAAAAATGGTGGAGGCTGTCAGCACCAGCTAACATCATGCCTGTAGAGACTATGTGGATCCTATTATTTTAAAATTCACTTTGACTCATTAATTCCTAATTTAGTGTTCTACTTGAAGAAATGCTATCTGAATGCAGGAAGAGGATCATGACCTTCTATTTTAAAACTGTCTTGCAATAGAATGTTACTTGTTTCTGGGATTCCAATTTCAATCTGAGTTATTTTTGACAGAGCACTGCATGTAGTATCAACATATAGGGCCACAGTGAAGACTGTCTTAATTTAATTTTCTTTTACGTGTTAATTCTGTAATTGCTTCCCAACCACGCAGCTCAGTAGAGTGAGGGACATGAAGTACTTGCGGGGGGTGCTGGCAGGGAAGGACATCTTGTAAGCGTTTTTAGGCATTGATGGGTATACGTGGAACATTATATTGCCAACAGGTTATTTAAGACTGTGCAATTAAAAACTAATTAGGGTAACTAAAACACTGAGGGTTTTAGATCTATAACTTCAAAAAAATGTAAATGATATAAGATTAAAAAAATGACTGCACAATTATGTGAAATTTTTTGCTTTTTAAAGGCATGTATGTATCACAAGAAGTTTCCAGCAGGGTTTGCAGCCAAGCTGAAGCTCCTCGGTTATTTTGTGCTTCAGGATAATAGTTCTTAAACCTTTCCTCACTTACCTCCCACCAGTTATTCTTAGAGAAGGGTTGGGATGAGGGGGTTGGTGGGGAGATGGCATGAAGAATGCTAGAGAGAAAAAAATGAAATTATGTTAAACCAGTGAGAGAGAGGTGGGGATGAGGAGCATTGCAGTGGATTTGAAAGACCCTGAGCTCTACAGTCAGATGTCTCCACATTTCAGTCCCGGCCTCACACCTGCCCTGCGTAAGGCACTTACACTCGCTGGGTACCAGTTTCCCTGCCTGTAAGATGATGATGATGACCGCAGCGCCCGCTCATAATTATGCATGGTGGGTATAGTTAGTAAAGTGTTTTCCACAGGACCCTGCGTGAAGCAGGACATCCAAGGCCTGAATATTGCAGTGTGGTGTTTCCCTCATTCCCCCCTACACCTTAGCCTCTATGGAGTCTTCATGAGAGAACTCCTGGACACTTCCACCTGCTCGCTGCCTTCTGTGCCTGCCTTTGCTCTGGGGTAGTTGGGGCAGGGCACAGACAGTGGGCAACACGATGGTGAGGGATCAGCCTCCTTGGGGCATAGTTCCTCCCAGCATGCAGAACGTGGCAGGCCATCCTCTCCAGACGGAGTCAGCAGGAGGCAGCGCTGCCTACCTACAGGTAGACATGGGGGATGGAAACAGTAAAATGCTTAGTAATTACTATCTTTTTAAAAAGTGTCTGCCACCCAGACTGCTCCTGTGCACAGCACCTGGTGAGAACCTCTGCTCCAGGATATGACTATTTTAGGTTGTTTTTAATTAAATGAAAACATTGCTTCCAGGCCCAGCATACATTTGCCCACAGATGGTGGGTTGGATCACTTTGAATGTTGCTGGACTAAAACATTCTAGAAAGTGGGAAAGCACCTGCTTCCCAGGTCACTTACGTTGGTTCTAAAACATGCTGGTTTGCAAAGGAAAACAATGGTCATTTATGTCATCTCTTCCAGAACATAATTGCTGAGCATGAAATTCGTAATATCTCCTGTGCTGCCCAGGACCCAGAAGACCTCTCAACATTTGCTTATATCACAAAAGATCTGAAGTCCAATCACCACTACTGTCACGTGTTTACTGCCTTCGATGTGGTGAGTAACTACCCTCTTTGGACAGATTAAATATTTCCCCAAATGTACCTGGATTTGATTGAAAGCTCAACTTGCAGTTAAGGTACTTGGCTTGTTTACCAAGTATTAAGGTATACCTGATGTAAGGTATATTGCAAACTTGGCTTTGCTGAGATCTGTCTAGAGTTCCACTCACCCATTAAATTTGGAACTCTACTTCTACCTGGTATCTGAACCGTCCTTGCTCAACTGCTAACTTCGCCTTTCACGTCTGACAAATTCCTTTCTCTCTCTGGCACCAAAATAGAGTAAAAGTCTTCCAGCCATCTTGTTCCTTCGTTGTTGTCTGTCGGTCTCTCTAGTAGCCATTTCTAAGTAGTGAGGCATAATAGTTTAGGTTTGTTTGGAAGAAAAATAAATTTCATTGCCTCGTAAATATTTGTGGTTTTCTGTATTGAACAGTAGTCAAATTAGACATCTACAGATAATAATTGGGAACACCAACATTTGGCCCATTTGCTTATTCAGAAGTTAGTCTTGTAATGACATCCTTATGGTGTTATACCACTTATAGTCCCATTCGTCATTAAGTCTAAAAACTAAGCCATATATTACGAATTTGGAAAATGAAAGCAATTCGAGAAAACAATAGATGTTCCTTTAACATATGTATATACCCTCAAGATAGTACAGATTGCTTGAGAGTATCTCTAACTCTCATTCTGCATTTGAAGCAGACAGAACAGATATGGTTGTAACCATGAAATAATTTGTAATCGGAAGAATTTTAAAATGTCACTTTAATTTGATAATTCTGCTTTGCTCCATGTGTTTGAAACACACATTTAAAGAATTACCCAAAAATTGCAGTGTAATATATTCTTGGGAGGCCAGCCCACAGTTCAATGTCAGCGGTAAGACTGCTTGAAGCAATCTTTTTCAGTTCTGACAAACACCCACAGACCCACTGTAACCCAAAATTCACACCATCCTGAGGTATGTTAGTGAGCTCATGCCCAGAGCATTTGTATCATGCTGCATGTGGCTCCTTCCTTTCAGTTTTTGAAGACTGGAAACAGGAAAGAATGTTCATGTGCCTTTAAAAAATTCCTTCTCTTTTGGGAGGCGTGAGGAGAATAATATATAGGTGGTATGTGGAAACAGTAAGGACTGCACGGCAGAGCCCTCAAGGGCCACTCGAAATATCTCTGGTTTGCATGGGATCAGTGGTGTTGATTAACATCATTTTAGTTGGCGTTTACAAGCACATGCAGCATTAGGGTTCTGGTGCCTGAAACATCACTTGCCATTCTTGTGAAATGCAATTGTTTCTTTAAACAGCAAAATTCCATTCTGTCCACATATATTTTGGTTTGCATGAAACACCTTTCTCTGTGGGAGTTGGATTGGTGTCATAGAAAAAACAGGCAGCTCAGAGTTCCCATCCCAACTCAGCTGCCTACTCCCTGATCTTAGACAAGCTGCAGGACTTTTCTGAGTCCCGATTTCCTTTGTCTATAAAACAGGTACAGGATTTGTACCTCACAGGTCTTCATCAGGATTGAAATGAAGGAACATATATGTAGAGCGCTCATAAATAATAGGTGTTCAGTGTTAGTTCCATCCCACCTCTTCTCTCTGCCGACATCACAATTAACACCTGGCCCTTTTTCTGCTAAAAGACATAAGATAGATTTGCCATAAGTCTATTTATGGCCCCAAGTTTTTCCACTGCCCTTGTCAAATAACTTAAAAAATAGAAGCAATATATAAAATAGAGATAGTAGAAAGAAAACATTGACTCTTCAGGCCTTGTATTGGTGTATTGCTGCTATATAGTCTTTTCATTGATGTCAACATTAATATTCCGATACTTTTCAGGATAAGTTCCAGTCTTTCCTTGAGTATTGGAGCATTTCTTTCTAAATTGGTTTCTAAAGTAGTCTATAATTAATATGAGTATCCAAAATATTGTTCTACATTCAAACTAAAAATGATACCCATTGGCCACCTGGCCCCTTGAGTTTTTTAGCTATCTATGTGACCCCAGAATACTGAAGTGAAATATGAGGAAAAAATAGTCAACTATTTAGTTTTGTGATCAATGTGATGTCCCTGATACATCTGGAAAACGTGTGGAGAATTGCTTTATCTTTTATCTTTTCATCCAGATGTTTGATTTAATGTAGACATTCACCAGCTTAGGATTCTGGTATCAGCTCCAAAGGATTTTCATCTTACACCACAAATCCACCAATTTAATCCCCTCTAGGTGAACACAGTTTGTCTAACTTCAAAAATAGCAACAAAGGCCACGAGCCTTGACCTGGGCCTTTGAACAATTTTGAGATGCAACAAGCTTTGCTTGCACTAAAAAAACCCTCTTTGAGCATGGATTTTATATCTTTATGTAGGGCAGTTCAATATTCAGTCCAGTCCTGAAGCCTTGAGATTCTTTTGATATGAGTCAGTCCCCTGGGCTGCCCAAATAGCAAAAAAAAAGAAAAGAATATGTTAAGTATACATTTAATCTTTTAGCTAAAATGTATGAGTACATATTCATTTTTAATTGTAAAGCTATTGCCACATTGATATTGTAAACCTTTTATGGGTGACAAAATGTTTTTATGAATATCTGCTGTCATCAAGAAAATTCAGTGATGTCTAGGATGATAGTGGTTTATGGAGAGTTAGATTTGAAATTCAGAGCATTTTCCCGTAGAAATCCTGTGGTCTGGGAAGGGAGGCCCAAGCGCCCCTACAAAAGCCAACATGTAAGGTTCACAGAGTTCACTTGCTGTGGGATGTTGCCGAGCCTTTCATATGCTCAGACGGGCCATGAGTGGGCCATGTTTCCCAAGTTCACTTGGCCTTCGTAGCCCTTTATGGAGAGCACCTCGCAGGGGTGGCATTCTGCAGAATACACTTTAGGAAATGTTATACTTTATGAGCTATAAGCCTGTTCCTATTACTTAGAACCTATGCTAAATTCAGCTGATGATATTTTCAGTTTTAGATGAGACGTAGATGCAAGTAAAGACTAGAGCAAAAACGGAATTAGAATTCCCAAGAAAAAAGCCAATATGTACCTGTCGGCAAGCACCAGACCTACGCTGAATTCTAGACTCTCACTCCTGTGGCAGCTGATTTCTAATCACATCTCTAACTGGCTAGGCCTGGAATGCATCTCACCCATTATAGAACAGAAGACCTCCCAACTCCACCTTCCAGGCAGTGAAAACCTGGGAGAAGAGGAAGCAGTAGGACTGGGCAGAAAAGAAGGATGTGTTATGAGACTAGGAGTTGTAGGGGTTAAACATAAATTCAGCTTTTCTGTCCTCTTCTCTCGTCTCAAATGAGTGAAGGGGAATTAAGTGCTGCTAGGATTACACGAGGGGGAATGAGTATTTCAGTGTCCACCAGATCCCCAGGTTGCAGTGACCATCCTTAGAAGGCCACTATAGGTAAGAGACAGACATAACCAAAGTAATTTGGAAACTACCATCTTCTATATATTATTCCCTTGGTTAGTCTAGGTTTCTAAGGAATAGAATTTAAATAGGTAGATCAGAAAGATTTTGATGCATTCTCTGTGGGAGTATTGGATTTATCTTAAAAATCTGGGAAGGACTTCATTCAACAGTTTCAAAATATGAAAGGGTTTTTTTTTAATACCATTAAAAGCCGTGACTGCTGCTAGACCCTTGCTAATTCTCACTTCTCTCTAAAGAATATATTTGCAGTCTTTGATATTTTTAACCATGCTCATTTTTCTCTTACTTGCAACTCCCAAATTCTGTAATCGTCAGTGTGCGGCACGTGGTGCGGCCTAGACTGGGCTCAGGAATATGTAGGGAATGTGAAAGTCATGACGTGGGTGGGCGATGCATGTGGGAGACGAAGCTCCCTCTTTCCTATGCTTTCTTGGCTGAATGTGGGCCATGAAGGATCTAAACTGGAGAAACAGAAATGACAACATGTAGGAGAACATAGTCAGCGGACATGCAATAGTGTTTCATAGTACTCTGCCATCAATAGGTGCCAGCAAGCCAAAGCATAGAGTAGGGACACTAGAGTCAACCACGTGTCATGATCAATGAGACCCACGCCAACTTCTGACTTTGGTTCTGCTATGAGTTTCTTTCTTAGTTTTCTCCTCACTTTAATGAAGTTAAAATTCCTGAGCCCTTTATTTTTTTTCCAGTTTTCTTGAGATATAACTGACATATAACATTGTATTCGTTTTAGGTGCGTGACATCATGATTTGATATATGTATATATTGCAAAACAATTACCACACTGAGTTTAGTTAACATCCATCATTTCACATAGTTACAAATTTTTTTCCTTGGGATGAGAACTTTAAGATCTACTCTCTTAGCAACTTATGCATGTCTAATATGGTAGTGTTAACTATAGTCACCATGCTGTACATTACGTCCCCAGGACTTATTTATCTTATATCTAGAAGTTTGTACCTTTTGACCACCTTCATCCATTTCATCTTTTCTTAAACTCTGAGATTATTTCCATGGAGTAGTTTGAGGTTCCTGATGAAAAATATCTATGGCTTATGTTGCAGAGGATACCCCACAAAGTGGGAACTTAGAGGTGCAAAAGAACTTTTGTTGTTGTTTCTGACGTCAGTTGACCTCTGACAACTAAATTAATATTGTATGTGGAGCCAGGTGGTCTCTCTCATTCTGTTCCTCGTTTTCTCCACCTGGAAATGGCCCTCAACCTATTTGACTATAATACTATGAAAATACATGGCAATATAAGAAAATATTAAAGTGCACAGAGCCCTTAAGATGGAAGTGTAACACTTTCCCTGGCTAGTCTCCCACTTATAAAGTAGCATAAGTGGAAGCCACTCCCGGGCCCTGTGCAACCAGCTGAAACTCCTCAAGTGGGTCGCAGGAGGGATCCTGCTCCTGAGAGCAGTGAATGGCCTGATCGAATCAAAAAGGCCTATGGTCCTTTTACACCACCACTTGTCCCCCCACCAAAGAAAGAATAA